TCGAGAAATCGAAATAGCCCGAAATCGGAAAATTCAAAATTGAAATGTTTATTTAAAAAAAAGAAACGGAAAAATCGAAAAACTCAAAAAAATCGATAAACCTAGATATGAGAAACAGAAAATTCCAAAAATCGAAAAATTGAAATACAGATTAAAAAATTTAAAAAATCGAAGTTAAAAAATCGTAAAAACAAATTCCATTCGATTTTCCGTTTTATCGATTTTGCAATTTTTTGTTTTTTCAATTTTTTAATTTTCCGATTTTTCAATTTTTAGAATTTTCTACTTTCCGAATAAACAAAATGGAAAAGTTATAAAATAGAAAAATTGTAAAACTGAAAAAGTACAAAATGAAAGCTGCGAAAAATAAAAAAAATGGAAATCAAGAAGTTAAAAAATCAAAGATTGAAAATGTAAAAAATTGAATAAACAAAAAATAATAAAATCCAAACAAACATTGAAAAAATAAAGGTAATGGAAAAATGAAAAATTGTGATATAAAATCAAGAAAATGAAAATTACAAAATCGGGAAAATGAAAATATGGAAAATCTGAAAAATATAGAAATTGCAAAATTCCCGAAATTGCGATGTTTAAAATTGAGATAGCGAAAACTTAAAAATCGAGAAATCGAAAAATTTTTTAAATTGGAAAATTGAGATATGAGAAATCGAAAATTCCAAAAATGGAAAAATTGAAACACATTAAAAAAGTAAAATCGGGAAATCGAAACAAAGATTATAAAAGGGAAAAATGAAAAATTTAAAACATCGAAAATTTAAAATATATACTAGAAAAATCGAAAATTTTGAAAATCGAAAAATCAAGAAATCGAAATCGAAAACTTGAGACTTCAAAAGATCGAGAAATCGAAATAGGCCGAAATCGGAAAATTCAAAATTGAAATATTTATTTAAAAAAACACTCCTAATTATAATTTTTAAAGTTGTTCACTTTTTCAGTTTTTCGTTTTTGGAATTTTTCAATTTTTCGGTGTTTGAATGTTACAATTTTTGGACTTTACATTGTTCAAGATTCTATAATTTTTCGACTTTACAATTTTTGGATTTTCCAGTTTTTCAATTCGAATGGTTTTTTTCTTTCCCATGCTTCGATTCATTAATTTTTTTTAGATTTTTAAGTTTCTCGGTTTTTAGTTTTTCATTGCTTCAATTTTTCATTTTTTAACTTTTCGAATAAACAAAATGGAAAAATTATAAAATAGAAAAATTGTAAAACTGAAAAAGTACAAAATGAAAGCTTCGAAAAATAAAAAAATTGGAAATCAAGAACTTAAAAAATCAAAGATTGAAAATGTAAAAAATTGAATAAACAAAAAATTAATAAAATCCAAACAAACATTGAAAAAATAAAGGTAATGGAAAAATTAAAAATTGTGATATAAAATCAAGAAAATGAAAATTACAAAATCGGCAAAATGAAAATATGGAAAATCTGAAAAATATAAAAATTTCAAAATTCCCGAAATTGCGATGTTTAAAATTGAGATAGCGAAAACTTAAAAATCGAGAAATCGAAAAATTTTTTAAATTGGAAAATTGAGATATGAGAAATCGAAAATTCCAAAAATGGAAAAATTGAAACACATTAAAAAATTAAATCGGGAAATCGAAACATAAAGATTATAAAAGGGAAAAATGAAAAATTTAAAACATCGAAAATTTAAAATATATACAGAAAAATCGAAAATTTTGAAAATCGAAAAATCAAGAAATCGAAATCGGAAACTTGAGACTTCAAAAGATCGAGAAATCGAAATAGTCCGAAATCGGAAAATTCAAAATTGAAATATTTATTTGAAAAAAAGATAAACGGCAAAATCGAAAAACTCAAAAAAATCGATAAACCTAGATATGAGAAAGAGAAAATTCCAAAAATCGAAAAATTGAAATACAGATTAAAAAATTTAAAAAATCGAAGTTAAAAAATCGTGAAAACAAATTCCATTCGATTTTCTGTTTTATCAATTTTGCAATTTTTTGTTTTTTCAATTTTTTCCAATTTTTTAATTTTCAGATTTTTCAATTTTTAGAATTTTCTACTTTCCGAATAAACAAAATAAAGTTATAAAATAGAAAAATTGTAAAACTGAAAAAGTACAAAATGAAAGCTGCGAAAAATAAAAAAATTGGAAATCATGAACTTAAAAAATCAAAGATTGAAAATGTAAAAAATTGAATAAACAAAAAATTAATAAAATCCAAACAAACATTGAAAAAATAAAGGTAATGGAAAAATGAAAAATTGTGATATAAAATCAAGAAAATGAAAATTACAAAATCGGCAAAATGAAAATATGGAAAATCTGAAAAATATAGAAATTGCAAAATTCCCGAAATTGCGATGTTTAAAATTGAGATAGCGAAAACTTAAATATCGAGAAATCGAAAAATTTTTTAAATTGGAAAATTGAGATATGAGAAATCGAAAATTCCAAAAATGGAAAAATTGAAACACATTAAAAAATTAAAATCGGAAAATCGAAACAAAGATTATAAAAGGGAAAAATGAAAAATTTAAAACATCGAAAATTTAAAATATATACTAGAAAAATCGAAAATTTTGAAAATCGAAAAACCAAGAAATCGAAATCGAAAACTTGAGACTTCAAAAGATCGAGAAATCGAAATAGGCCGAAATCGGAAAATTTAAAATTGAAATATTTATTTAAAAAAAAGATAAACGGAAAAATCGAAAAACTCAAAAAAATCGATAAACCTAGATATGAGAAACAGAAAATTCCAAAAATCGAAAAATTGAAATACAGATTAAAAAATTTAAAAAATCGAAGTTAAAAAATCGTAAAGACAAATTCCATTCGATTTTCCGTTTTATCGATTTTGCAATTTTTTGTTTTTTCAATTTTTTCCAATTTTTTAATTTTCCGATTTTTCAATTTTTCGAATTTTCTACTTTCCGAATAAACAAAATGGAAAAGTTATAAAATAGAAAAATCGTAAAACTGAAAAAGTACAAAATGAAAGCTGCGAAAAATAAAAAAATTGGAAATCAAGAACTTAAAAAATCAAAGATTGAAAATGTAAAAAATTGAATAAACAAAAAATTAATAAAATCCAAACAAACATTGAAAAAATAAAGGTAATGGAAAAATGAAAAATAGTGATATAAAATCAAGAAAATGAAAATTACAAAATCGGCAAAATGAAAATATGGAAAATCCGAAAAATATAGAAATTGCAAAATTCCCGAAATTGCGATGTTTAAAATTGAGATAGCGAAAACTTAAAAATCGAGAAATCGAAAAATTTTTAAAATTGGAAAATTGAGATATGAGAAATCGAAAATTCCAAAAATGGAAAAATTGAAACACATTAAAAAATTAAATCGGGAAATCGAAACAAGGATTATAAAAGGGAAAAATGAAAAATTTAAAACATCGAAAATTTAAAATATATACTAGAAAAATCGAAAATTTTGAAAATCGAAAAATCAAGAAATCGAAATCGAAAACTCGAGACTTCAAAAGATCGAGAAATCGAAATAGGCCGAAATCGGAAAATTCAAAATTGAAATATTTATTTAAAAAAACACTCCTAATAATTATAATTTTTAAAGTTGTTCACTTTTTCAGTTTTTCGTTTTTGGAATTTTTCAATTTTTCGGTGTTTGAATGTCACAGTTTTTGGACTTTGCAATGTTCAAGATTATATAATTTTTCGACTTTACAATTTTTGGATTTTCCAATTTTTCGATTCGAATGGTTTTTCTTCTTTCCCATTCTTCGATTCATTAATTTTTTTTAGATTTTTAAGTTTCTCGGTTTTTAGTTTTTCATTGCTTCAATTTTTCCTTTTTTCGAGTTTTTAACTTTTCGAATAAACAAAATCGAAAAATTATAAAATAGAAAAATTGTAAAACTGAAAAAGTACAAAATGAAAGCTTCGAAAAATAAAAAAATTGGAAATCAAGAACTTAAAAAATCAAAGATTGAAAATGTAAAAAATTGAATAAACAAAAAATTATAAAATCCAAAGAAACATTGAAAAAATAAAGGTAATGGAAAAATGAAAAACTGTGATGTAAAATCAAGAAAATGAAAATTACAAAATCGGGAAAATGAAAATATCGAAAATCTGAAAAATATAGAAATTGAAAAATTCCCAAAATTGAGATAGCGAAAACTTAAAAATCGAGAAATCGAAAAATTTTTAAAATTGGAAAATTGAGATATGAGAAATCGAAAATTCCAAAAATGGAAAAATTGAAACACATTAAAAAATTAAAATCGGGAAATCGAAACAAAGATTATAAAAGGGAAAAATGAAAAATTTAAAACATCGAAAATTTAAAATATATACTAGAAAAATCGAAAATTTTGAAAATCGAAAAATCAAGAAATCGAAATCGAAAACTTGAGACTTCAAAAGATCGAGAAATCGAAATAGGCCGAAATCGGAAAATTCAAAATTGAAATATTTATTTAAAAAAAAGATAAAAATTCCATTCGATTTTCCGTTTTATCGATTTTGCAATTTTTTGTTTTTTCATTTTTTTCCAATTTTTTAATTTTCCGATTTTTCAATTTTTACAATTTTCTACTTTCCGAATAAACAAAATGGAAAAGTTATAAAATAGAAAAATTGTAAAATTGAGAAACTTAAAGATCGAAAAATGCGGTCGAAAACACGAAAATTATTGTAAAATCTAAATATTGAAAATAACAAATTAACAATTTTTAAAAATTATTATGTGTATAAATTATTATCATTTGTAAATCTGTGTTATTCGGCGCCACTACTGGTAAACCAGTAATTTCATATTAATTTTATATTACTTTTTAAATTTGGTGTATGGGGTCGCTTACTATAAACTGCGGGGGGGCGCAGCGGAAGTTAGCTACGCCACTGGTTGGCGTGAACTTCAAAGCTTATCGCAAAACGAGGCCAATAACCTCTTATTGTTCGCGATTTTCGTCGACCATGAATATGGAAGGAGTAATTGACGGTGTGTTTATGCAGGGCGGCGCCCCCCGTCCATGGTGGGCCGCGACCCCGAGCCGGGCCTGGTCAACGGCAACTCCGACCAGCCCATGGAGCCCCTCAGCGAGCCGCCAGAGACGGACTCGACCGAAACCAAGCCCAAACTGCGCGAATGGGAAAAGCACCCGGCGCCATGGCTCGAGGAAATGAAGCTCAATCAGGCCAAGCGCAGCTCGAACGTGCCAGGTCCGGACAAGCTCAAATTGACCCCTACGGAGAAAAGCGACAAGAAGGAACCAAGCCCCATAGATAAATCTAAGTCAATAGCTGCTAGCTTGAGCAGAGTGAAGACCCCGACCAACGAATTTCCAGTCATTCGCAGCAAACCCAACGTGCCAATACCGAGTAGACCTCAGACCATTCAGAACGTGGCGGGATTGAGCGACGTGTATGTCCCGAAGACGCACACGAAGGTGTCGCCGGTGAGCAGCAAGACGCCGATGGTGAAGGCGGAAACGCACGACAGTAGCGCGGGAGGCGACGGCGTGGAGGAAGGCGCGAAGAGCTACGGGGAGCTGGAGCAGAGGATAGCCAGGCTGGAGGAGCTGCTGGAGAAGCAGCAGCAGAACTTCGAAGCCGCCGTAGACGAGCTCCGAGGGAAACTGCAGCTGGAAGCCGAGTTGAGGATGAAGCTTCAAGCGAAATTGGAGAGGCTAACTTTAGACGGTGCAATCCAACAACTTTAATTTTATTTTTATATTATTTATAAGCAAGTAATTCGCCATTTATATTGTAGGGGGTAGTCGATGCCGTTGCGTTTTCGATGGAAAGTCAGCAATTTAATCAGTAGGGGGGCTCGAGGACGCACTTTGTGTTGCTTCACATATCATCGCGCTAAAACTTGACGAAAAATATTGTTCCTATTGTGTTACAACGATTTGTTCCTTGTGGATCTCTTTCATTGTGTGTAGTCCACGAGCACGACTTCTAGTCACTAATAACGTGCTGCCCAATTAAAAAAAAAAAAAAGTTCGTCTTCCTTACTAATTTAGGCTTAAATTTTAACTTTGTGCGAATCATGCATATCCCCCCTGGAGCGTCCATACTAATTAGATTGCCGAAAACGAAAAACGAGAGAGAATTGCAAGATTTTATATAAAACAGCTACCGCAATTTTTATATAGCATTTTTACCACTTAGCCTAATTCAACAGATACCCTATATATTGTGAAAGTATTAAAGATCATTCCATTGCTCAGTAGGATTTTCACCATCTATTTATTTGATCACGTTGTATATTTTATTCCATTTATCTTTTTATATATTATGTATCGCATTTTATTGTTTACTTTATATGTGTGAGGGTTGTATTTCGTACTGTGTTGACGAGTCGCCCCATATTTCAACTATTTTGTTAGTGAGTTCTTGTATTTTTATATTCTTATATGATTAAGTGTTCAAAGACGGTGATAGGCTAGCTTTTAAATAACCCAAAAAGCGCTAAATGGTTTCGTTTGCTTGATTGGTAGCTGAGTTTCTGGGTTCAGTTTTAAAGCGAGATGTCGGCGGCGAACTTGAACCCAGTATTGTTTTGTACATTTGAATTTGATTTTCAAAACAGATACGAACAGCAGATATATAATGTTGTAATTAAGTTTAACATTCCATAATTAACTTAATGTAAATAAAATTAAATTTATTTAAATGAAAGAATTGTACTTAGGAATATTGTTGAGAGAATAACAATAAATAAGATACTTAAAGTGTGGTTTGCAGTACGCTTTAGAGTAGGCCCCTTTTATACTATTAATACCGCGTGATCGAAAAATACTGTAGTAGGCTTGTATTTGACCGTAACTGTCAAATTAATTGCACGGCCTACTAACTTACGTTTTCGATCATTCAAATTGGAGGTGTTAAATGTGTTGCCTAAACACGATTAATATAATTTCTTGTTTTGACAGTTGTGTGAAACTGAATAAATAGTAACTTGTTTCTGGCTTGTTCTTTTTTTTAGGAACCGTTTCCGGCGACGATTTTGTCACTAGAAACTGAGCGAACATATTTTCCCACGAAATCGGCAAAAAATTGCAGTAATAATTTCATAATTTCAGAAATAATTGCGCAGTTTCAGGATATCAGAGATTACGACGGAATCAGAAATATGCTCTAATTAAAGGCGACTCTGAAGACGAAGCCCGACAGATTCTCCCGTGGGAATTACGTTTTTTTTGAATTGTTGAAATTACGTTATCGTACATAGTTGAAAGCCCCAATTTCTGTTATCCGTCACGTGCATATTGATGGATTTATTAATCGACTTTACAGGCGTTTTTTTTTATTTCAGACTCCAGACACCAGGGGAACTCGACGATCGATTATTCTTCCAGCCACTTTTTGCTCCTTGTTATTTACCAGATGCTAATTTCCTCCTCGCGACAAAACTCACCCCATCGCAAAAAACTCATAAGGCACCCTTATTATTAAAGAGCGGATTCTAGGACAAATGCCTTTTCACTTTTTTGAACTATTTAATAATTCTTTGAAAAGTTACATTTTTCTTGTTTTTTTCTTCTTTCCAAAACAAGAAATTGCAAATATGTTTAAAATGGTAAACTATATCCCTCACTCTTCTCTACAAATTTACCATTTTTATGCATATTGTTAGTTTCTTGTCATAATAAGAAAACTACGTACATAATGTTCAGAAAAAAAAGAAAGCCCGCCCACCCGCCCTCGTCTTAATTGTGATGACTTTTTTATTAGTCATGAGCAGAGGGGCGGAGCTTAATTGCAAAATGCTTATTTCCCTACAAGAATCCACCATTTGAAACATGTTTTTAAGTATCAGGTTGTTGAAAGCAAATTATGTATGTCAAGAAGAAAAAATAAGCCTCGCCCGCCCGCCCCATCCTTAAATGTGATGAATTTTTCATTCGTTGTCACAGCGAGGGGCGGAGCTTAATTGTAAAATCAGTATTTCCCAACAAAAATTACCATTTTCAATATGTCTTAAATATCTTTTGAAAAGAAGATTACCTATCCACAGAAAAAAGACTAAACTTAAGCCGCGCCCCTCCTGACTCACGACAAATATGGAAAAATCGTTACAATTAAGACAGGGCGGGTGGGTGGGGCTTATGTTTTGTTTTTTTTTCTTCTTGATATGCACACTCTTCTTTTCACAACAAAAAATTGAAAGCATGTATAAAATAGTAAATTTTATGCCCCACTCTTCTCTACAAATGTACCATTTTTATGCATATTTCCAGTTTCTTCTCATGAAAGGGTACGTACACATATTAGGAAAAAAAAATACAAGCCCCACCCACCCACCCTCGTCTCAGTTGTGATGACTTATTTTATTCGTCGTGAGCCGAGGGGCGGAGCTTATTTGCAAAATGCTTATTTCTTTACAAGAATCTACGATGTGAAACATGTTTTTAAGTTGTTGATGAAAAACTATATATGTCAAGAAAAAAAGTAGAAAGATAAGCCCCACCCGCCCGCCCCAACCTCAAGTGTGATGAATTCTTCATTCGTTGTCACAGCTAAGGGCGGAGCTTAATTGTAAAATCAATGTTTCCCGACAAAAATTTACCATTTTCAATATGTTTTAAATATCTTGTGAAAAGAAGATTACGTAGCTACAGAAAAAAAATTAACTTAAGATCCGCCCTTCCAAACTCGCGACAAATAAGGAAAAATCGTTACAATTGAGACCGGGTGGGTGGGTGGGGCTTACGTTTTTCTTTTTTTTTCTCCTTAATATGCATAGTCTTCTTTCCCAAACAAGAAATTGCAAACATGTTTAAAATGGTAAATTATATCCCTCACTCTTCTCCACAAATTTACCATTTTTAAGCACATTGTTAGTTTCTTGTCATGAAAAGAAAACTACCTACATAATATTAAAAAAAAAAAGAAACCCCGCCCACCCACCCTCGTCTCAATTGTGATGGCTTTTTTATTTGTCTTGAGCCGAGGGGCGGCGCTTAACTGCAAAATGCTTATTTCTCTACAAGAATGCACCATATGAAACATGTTTTTAAGTATCATGTTGTTGAAAGAAAATTATGTATATCAAGAAAAAAAAAATAAGCCCCACCCGCCCGCCCCAACCTCAAATGTGATGAACTTTTCATTCGTTGTCAGAGCGGGAGGCAGGACTTCATTGTCAAATCAGTATTTCCCGAAAAAATTACCATTTTCAATATGTCTTAAATATCTTGTCAAAAGAAGATTACGTATCTACAGAAAAAAAACACTGCACTTAAGCCCCGCCCCTCTTGACTTACGACAAATAAGGAAAAATCGTCACAATTGAAATAGGGCGGGTGGGTGGGGTTTACGTTTTGCTTTATTTTCTTCTTAATATGCATTCTCTTCTTTTCACAACAAAAAATTAATAATATGTAGAAAACGGTCAAATTTACCATTTTTACGAATATTTTCAGTTTCTTATCATGAAAAAAAAACTACATAGATATATTAGGAAAACAAGCAAAATACAAATCCCGCCCACCCACCCTCGTCTCAATTGTGATGACCTTTTTTATTCGTCGTGAGCCGAGGGGCGGAGCTTAATTGCAAAATGTTTATTTCTCTTCAAGAATCTACCAGATGAAACATGTTTTTAAGTATCACGTTGTTGAAAGAAAACTATAGTCATACAAAAAAAAATTAGCCCCACCCGCCCGCCCCAACCTCAAATGTAATGAATTCTTCATTCGTTGTCACAGCGAGGGGCGGAGCTTAATTGTAAAATCAATGTTTCCCGACAAAAGTTTACCATTTTCAATTTGTTTTAAATATCTTGTGAAAAGAAGATTACGTAGCTACAGAAAAAAAATTAACTTAAGATCCGCCCTTTCAGACTCACGACAAATATAGAAAAATCGTCACAATTGAATCAGGGTGGGTGGGTGGGGCTTACGTTTTTGATTTTTTTTCTCCTTAATATGCATAGTCTTCTTTCCAAAACAAGAAATTGCAAACATGTTTAAAATGGTAAATTATATCCCTCACTCTTCTCCACAAATTTACCATTTTTACGCACATTGTTAGTTTCTTGTCATGAAAAGAAAACTACCTACATAATATTAAGGAAAAAAAAAAACCGCCCACCCGCCCTCGTCTCAATTGTGACGACTTTTTTATTTGTCTTGAGCCGAGGGGCGGAGCTTAACTGCAAAATGCTTATTTCTCTACAAGAATGCACCAATGAAACATGTTTTTAAGTGTCATGTTGTTGAAAGAAAACTATATATGTCAAGAAAAAAAAAAAAAGCCCCACCCGCCCGCCCCAACCTCAAATGTGATGAATTTTTCATTCGTTGTCAGAGCGGGAGGCGGGGCTTAATTGTAAAATCAGTATTTTCCGAAAAAATTACCATTTTCAACATGTTTGTGTGAAAAGAAGATTACGTATCTACAGAAAAAAAGACTAAATTTAAGCCCCGCCCCTCCTGACTAACGACAAATAAGGAAAAGTCGTCACAATTCAGATAGGGCGGGTGGGTGGGGCTTACGTTTTGCATTTGTTTTTCTTCTTGATATGCATAGTCTTCTTTTCACAACAAAAAATTGAAAACATTTCTAAAATACTAAATTTGGCGCCCCACTCTTCTCTACAAATGTACCATTTTTATGCATATTTTTAGTTTATTCTCATGAAAAGAAAACTACTTAGATATATTAAGAAAAAAAGGCGAAATACAAACCCCGCCCACCCGCCCTTGTCTCAATTGTGATGATTTTTTTATTCGTCGTGAGCCGAGGGGTGGAGCTTATTTGCAAAATGCTTATTTCTTTACAAGAATCTACGATGTGAAACATGTTTTTAAGTTGTTGATGAAAAACTATATGTGTCAAGAAAAAAAGTAGAAAGATAAGCCCCACCCGCCCGCCCCAACCTCAAGTGTGATGAATTCTTCATTCGTTGTCACAGCGAGGGGCGGAGCTTAATTGTAAAATCAATGTTTCCCGACAAAAAATTACCATTTTCAATATGTTTTAAATATCTTGTGAAAAGAAGATTACGTAGCTACAGAAAAAAAAATAACTTAAGATCCGCCCTTCCAGACTCGCGACAAATAAGGAAAAATCGTTACAATTGGGACCGGGTGGGTGGGTGGGGCTTACGTTTTCCTTTTTTTTTTCTCCTTAATATGCATAGTCTTCTTTCCAAAACAAGAAATTGCAAACATGTAGAAAATGGTCAATTTTATGCCCCACTCCTCTCTACAAATTTACCATTTTTACGCACATTGTTAGTTTCTTGTCATGAAAAGAAAACAACCTACATAATATTAAGAAAAAAAAAAAACCCCGCCCACCCGCCCTCGTCTCAATTGTGACGACTTTTTTATTTGTCTTGAGCCGAGGGGCGGAGCTTAACTGCAAAATGCTTATTTCTCTACAAGAATGCACCATATGAAACATGTTTTTAAGTATCATGTTGTTGAAAGAAAATTATGTATGTCAAGAAAAAAAAAATAAGCCCCACCCGCCCGCCCCAACCTCAAATGTAATGAATTCTTCATTCGTTGTCACAGCGAGGGGCGGAGCTTAATTGTAAAATCAATATTTCCCGACAAAAGTTTACCATTTTCAATTTGTTTTAAATATCTTGTGAAAAGAAGATTACATAGCTACAGAAAAAAAAAATTAACTTAAGCTCCGCCCTTTCAGACTCACCACAAATATAGAAAAATCTTCACAATTGAGTCAGGGTGGGTGGGTGCGGCATATGTTTTGCATT